AAAAAATCAATCAATTGAATGCATCTAAGTAAGCAAAGGAGAAGATCAAATAGAAATTTTATTTTGAATGGAAAAAAAACTAAAAAGCATAAACAAGTATACAAATTGCATTGAAGGCTTAGATAGAAAAGTTGGTGACAAAGAGTGGACTTGTCACAATCAAAGGAGAAAGAAAGAAAAGGTTGAGTCAATATGACGGTGACTCGATGAGACTGCGATCTAAGTCTGATATAATGTTAAAGATTAAAGAGAAAAGATGGAGTTGGAGCTTAAAAGTTGAAGGTTGTATAGATTATGGGGGTTGAAATATAAGAAGAGTTTGAACTTTGAAGAGTTAGAGTCTTAAAGAGTATTAGAGTAAGTAAAAATAGAAAAAGTCAAGAGGTGAGTCTTGAGTGGAGTGGGATTATTTTTGCTTCTAGAAGATGATGAGCTAAGAGAATCAATTAGCCAATTAGGGAGAATTAGCCAATTAGGGAGAATTAATCAATTATTAGAGGTTTAGGTGGGATTGGGAATTGGAAAACAAAATAAATTAAAAAATTTTAAATTTTTAGACAAGTAAATAGGTCAAGCCCGTTAACCTAGTGAGTCAATCTGTTATTGACTTGTGACTCATTGAGTTCTTTTAATGGGTCATTAATGGGTCATGAGTTATGAATATCTGACTTTAACTTGTTTTAAACGAGCTAATAATGGGCAAGTTAGCGACTTGGATAAAAAATTGTCAAGTCCACTCGTTAGGCTAATATGATGGTTGAGTAGGTTGCAAAGGATGTTTCGAGGGGATAGTATCCTTACCAAAGTTGTTAATTCTATTTCGTATCAATCGGTATGGTTGGTATGTGTCGATATTTCAACAAAACTGAGATGGTATAGGTTTAAAATTCATTTCGATCAAATTTCAATATACCAACCGATACACCAAAATTAAACCGATACAATTAAAATCTTAAAAAAAAAAAAACAAAAAAACAAAAAACAAAAAACAAAAAGGCAAATCAATCCTTATACTTAGTAAATGGTGGCAAATCAACTCCTCAACTAAAAATAGACACAAATCACCCCTCAACTCATTGTAAATTTATAATCACTATCTACTTTAATAATTTACTCCTTTTGTTTAATTTTAGTAGGTCTAATTTTTTTATCTAATAAAATAAATATGTAATAATTAATTGATAAGATTTAATATTTATTCCTCATTAAT